TTCCGATGATACGAAGCAAAATTCATCGGAATCCTGTTTTCTGATTGGTTGCAGAGCGTCGTACGACGAAAATCGGATGCAGTGTGAATCCAGCACATGGTTGCGTTCGGAAATATCACTCGAGTGCTCTCGCGTATCGTATTATTTTTAGGTTTGTTCGCGTCGCATCTTCAACTAGAGTCATGAGGTTTGTTCGCGTCGCATGCTCCAACATGCTCCAATATGCACCTATCATAGCTCCTACTCACTTCCAATGCACTCATTAGAGTGAGTGGGAATTATGGCAGGAACATGTTGGAGCATGTTGGCGAATGCGACGCCAACAAACCTCTAGATTTATCAGAGAGGCGCAACCGGTGTTATGCATTCTGATTCGCTGTTGCAATCTGACCAATTGCGTGACTTGGCAGCCATTTATAGTACTAGTGACATATTTCTATTTCATTTTATCCTATACATTTTATCTCACATTATCCTACACGTCTTATCTTGTTTGACATAGTTTAAAGGCAGTTTCATAGCATGTCGGCCATGTTTAGTACTCTCCTTAGCACCTTTGTTATACTGACTTAAGCCGGTTGCGCCTCTCTGATAAATCTAGGACTCTAACCGAGAGGAAAGAGACACTTTTGTGTAAGAGGAGAACGAAGAACATGCGACGAAGTTGTGCCGTTGCTCGCGAGTACGGTTATAATACAAAGGACCGGTTTCACCAATCCGATTAAGCCGAATCAACCATAAGTGTCAACCATAAATGGTCAATTCCACTAAACAGCAAACGCGATTAGTCAGTTCCACGATGAATTAAGTAATTGGCGTTGGTGAAACCGGCCCAAATAATTTTTACGAAAAGCACACACGTTTACCGCTTTTCTTACCTTTTTTTTAAAAAGGTAAGTTTGTATATAATTTAAAAAATCCCACCATCACCCCCATCGTTTTAGAATTGTACATATAAGATATACGTATACTTAGGTTTCATTGTATCAAAATTAATGATAGTATTATTTGGATTAAGTAAATAAAGAAATAGGATTTAACTTGGTGCCAGTTCTTGATATATCAAACCCTTTATAGGAATGATACATATCATTAAAGACATAACAAGAGACAGTACCATTTGTGTTTTACTTTTTAATTTGATGGAATTTAACTTGATTAGTTAAGATTGTAGCACTAGGTTTTAATTTTTCATTTGATACATTAATTTTTTGGAAGTAATAAATTTTGACAGAGAATTAAAATTGCCATTACTTGGATTGGAATAAGACCTTCAATGAAAATATCCTTAAAGAAAAATTAAAACTACTATTTTAATTGGGTCATATTTATATCATATATCATATGTAGATAAATAGGTAAACAAAAAAATATTTCTTGAAATGAAGATTCCCCGACTTAAAGGGACGCTGGAGTGTCCTGTTTTACCATTAATTTTTAAAGACTCTTTTCTCTTAATTGTGTTTATGGATTAAAAAATCCTTCTCCACAATTAAAGTATCGACAACAACACAGGCTGCCAGCTACAATTTAATACGAAAAATAAAAAAAAATTAAAAATTGTAGTTTTGTCACCGGTCCTTGCAGTCAACTCGTCACAATGTGTGCTGCATATAAGAGTTTCAGATTTTACCCGTTTAAAATAAGTAGCCAGCAACCTACAAAAAACCTTGAAGAACAATATTATGCTTTTAGAAACGAGGTAGAGGTTTTAGTATAAAAGAAAAAAGTCACCAAAAATTTCGTTTGTATATTACAGTGAAATTGACGTGAAGCCATGAAAACTAGCAATATTTTAGTGTCATCTATACTGCAAAGAAGAAGTAATCTTATTTTGTTCTAAAAAGTTCTTTCATAAAATATTTTCGCCTCGAAAGACAACGCGTTCTACCATCATGGAATTGCCCTGTTGCCAGAGAGATGGGTAAAAGTAGTAGAAAATGGAGGAAATTACTTTGATTAAGGTATTCATTCATCTTCCCTTCGAAACAAATCAATTTTGGAGACGAAAAACGGCAGGAATTAAGTTTAACACCTAACAGTTTGTTTTGGAAAGCTCTCGACGCCAGCTATTAGATGCTGGCATCAAAAATAGACTATTACGTTTAAACAAATCGATTTGATCTTGACCTGAGCTTAGCGACGCCACCCAAGGTCGAACTCATTGCACCAGTAAATAAATTTTTGAAACCTTACAACTGTTAACCCTAAAACACTTTTTCCTAAAATGTTTAGTTTTCGAGATATTTCGCCGTGCCGATAATTTTTATACAGCCTTATATACAGCGTGATTCAAAATAACCTTTTGTCCTAAGAGGGACATATTCTTGACCGTATTCTGAGACGATTTTTCCTTTGACAAAAATTTGTCCGAAGCTTAGTTTTTAAGTTATAAAGGGAAATAGTTGACGTATCATAAGTCAAGTACGGAAGGTATGCAGAGGCGGCGCGCTCACCCAGGCGTGCGGGTGCCTACGCGCCTGTTAGACTCAACAATAACATACACGACGGTAACACGCTTACAGTATGCATTCAAATTCTTTTAAATTTTTAACACTTTAAATAATGATTTACAAGGATTTTCTTTTTTAAAAAATTTTTACATGATGGCTGAAAATACATATTTGGATCTATTTTACGAATACTATAACAGAGAATTGTCAAACTGCTATCACATGTTCGGTGTCTTATAAAGACTTTACATTATAAATAATATGCAAATCTGTTTAACCGTTCATTTAAATTAAAAAAGTCCTATTTAGAACACGATCTGATTTAGACCACTCTCCCCCACTATTTTTAGTACTGATATTTTTAGTAATGAGCAGTTTATACTATAAAGCAGTTTATAAGTAAAACATTTTAAAATGTATGCATATGAATGTATATACCTTCATATATATACATTTTAAAATGTTTAATTTTTTTGTTAATTTTATAACCAAATACTGTTTTCTAAACAAATATAATAGCTTTACTGTTAATCTATATAATTCGTATTAGGTGTACTATTCTTAATACTAGGATTTTTAGTACTGAGCAGCTTATATAACAATAACAATAGTTAATAAATTATAATATAATAGTTAATAAAACTATAATATAATAGTTAATCAACTATTTTTTATTAAAATCTAATATATATTTTTTGTAGTGGTAGAAGGATATATAAAATCAAATATAAAAAGCCTTCATAATAATAAATTAAATAAAACAATTGGATGTGGATCCATTACGGACGGAAAATATAAATTAGAAGTACATGTCGTAAATTTTATAGAAGACGAATATTACGATATGAATATTAATAAAGGTGACAATGTACAAATTAGTGGAGTAATAAGTAATACAGGTAAATAAAATATCTATATAAATTTAGAATAAAAACAAATAATTTTGATTAATTATCTTTTAATTTATATAATAATAATTAAGTACAACACATATATAAATATATATATATAAAATTTTTATTTCTACAAATACATCAAATAAACAATAAACAAATACATCAAATAAACTATAAACATATATTAAATATGTACAGTATGTGTGCATTAAGATTTCTTATATTTTTACATTTTACATATTTTCACAATTACATTACATACTAACATTTTTCTGATTTAATGATAGATTCAGTATACTTAATTGTAAATTCGACGGGAGATATACATAAGATTGAGGGATATGTCTATACCAATATTGTTAAGAGGAACAAAAACTCCTACAAAAAGAAAACAAAACGAAAAGGAAAATACATCAGAAGTAAATTAATTTATACATACATAGAACATACATTCCCAGTAAACATTAGGACATTTTATGTATGTTCTATGTATATACATATATGGATGTTTCAT